GTGCGCCTGGCTAAAGATCTGCGCTGATTGGCCTGATTTACTCAATAATTACTCCTTTATTATAAATAATAGAAAAAAATGGTTCAGGACTTTTAGACTCAGTTTTACTCCTTCTATCTGCCTACGAGAGATTGTACGGCAATTCTGGGACACCCTGTATACACGCATATTTCCGCACAACATCCAGCGAACGGTTTACATGACCGTTTACATATTCCTTAGTTTTTTTTTTTTTTTTTAATAGAAAAGGTTACTTTTAAGTCACTCTGTCAATAGTACGGTAAATGTTCAGAAAAACGGAGCACCCTTGGAGATCAATGACCTTAACATATGTTGTCAAGGATACCTTCCTGAACAATAATCTGCAATTTTTAGCCGTCGCTCGTTGTTTGTTAAAAAATTATAAACAAAAGAAGTTGCGTCAATAAACTGTTATTTTCCGGCACCGTGTACATTTTGTTTGTGTTGTAAGCGTGTAAGCAGGGGGGGACTGCGCCCCTCCTCCCTGCTACCTCCTCACGAAAAAATGAAGAATTCACTTAAGTGTCGCTTCATGTCAAGATTGTTTACTTGACATGAGAAGTGGAATATTACTTCGCATATTTCGCCAAATTCTTTCGATGTTTTGCGTGTGACAATTAGTATGAGGATCTACGAATTTTCTTTGTGATTTACTGTATGGTAAGTGTAACCGTGCATATTGATTGAGTAAACAATTATGACATGAAGCGACACTTGATTAAATTCTTCATTTTTTCTCGAGGGAGAAGCAGGGGGGAGGGTCTTTGCCCCTCTCTCTGCGGGGGGGGACGCAGCCCCCCCTGCCTACACGCTTACAACACGAATAAAACGTACAAGGTGTCGGAAACTAAGAGTTCATTTATGATATTTCTTTTGTTTATAACTTTTTAACGAACAATGAGCGACGACTAAAAGTTGCAGATTGTTGTTCAAGGAGGTGTCCTTGACAACATATGTCAAGGTCATTGACCTCCGAAGGTGCTCGGTTTTTCTGAACATTTACCGAAAGATGTTAAAAAGTGGTCGATTTTTGCCCTCGGTGTGGCAAGTAAAATTCGAGTGATTTTTTATAGATTTTTGGTCGTAGAATCACATGGCGTATTTAGTTTTTCCATAACATGTAGTGAAAATATAGAAAAACTGAAAAAAAGGAAATATATGCATTTTTCCTACTTTTCCTCAATTTGTTCATATTTTCCCTGTTCATATTTTGAACACTTATTGTATAGTAAAACAATTTTTTCCATATTTGTTATTTTGACTAATTTTGTTTATATCTCGATGACGGTTGAGTTTTCGAAAACTATTTTGATATAAAAGTTATTAAGCTTATTGAGTATTATCGACTTAAGAGTGACTCAAGGAACCCTTTTCCATAAAAAAAATTTTTGATTAATAAAGCAAAAAAATGTTAAATGTCATTTCACGGTCACTATAGTTTTCCTCTATCTCTAACCGTTTTTCAAGAAAAACGTGCTGACCATTTTATTAGACTCCTGTATATGTGTGTGTATGTGTTTATATATTGTCACTCCCTACGTATAATCCATTAACTTCAAAACGTAATTTTAGAGGAGAGCAGTTTAAAGATTTGGAACTTCATATGTTTCCCTAGTTAAGGGATTCTTTCGGTTTGGCGTTTCTGCAAACAGTTTCTATTGCCAAAATCTGCGCAGTCAGAAATTGTTTGCTGAGTATGAATAATTTTTTTTTAATATTTGGTGCCTATAAAGAACATAACTTTCTAAGTGCCACTATGCAATAAACTGAAAATCTCGTATGTGACACTTATGTAATTTATACGTAAGGAGTGACGACATAATGGTTACGTTCAGAAAACTCAACGGTTGAGAGATCATCACTTATGATAGGACTAGTCTTCAAAACCTGATACGGTTCCAAAAGTATGATCCAATCATAAGTAATTATCTCTCAATCGTTGTGCAACTGTTGAGTTGCTGAACGCACCCAATGCATATAGTGTTCGGTAATAGTCGTGTTTGTCGACAGATAAAAAAGGTTATATTAAGGATATTCTCCGACTACAGTGGTTAGCAACCTAAAATATCTCTTCTCATGAGTAAGTGTGTACTGCTGTAACAAAGTTAAGCTATTCAGCACTGCTAAGACCCGCTTACTCTGCGCAGAAGTTCAAAAATAGCTGCAGTACACAGCGCACATAAATCCAGCAAAAAAAAACAAAAAAAAAAAAAAAAAAAAAGCTACAGTTTGAAAAAAAGGGATGCTTGCCATATTATTCAAAATCGTATTTTAATTAGGACACTCTCCACTACCACATACTTGTTTTTTAAAAAAATCCTAAGAAAATTGTCGTCAGTTTTAAAAACCCCCACTTCACAAAAGCTCAGCATAGGAAATCCATGTTAAAAATTGACATATAAATCTTCCATATTTTGGAATTTAACATTGCTACCCCTATTATCCAAACAGGCTTACGTATAAATAGATCATAAACTATGTATACCGCAAATTTAAAGAAAATCAATAATTCGGAGAACGTCCTTAAGTCGAAAAATTCTTTATCACTTTGCGAGATTTACTCAATAAGTAATGAATTCTTAATTAATGAAGATCTGCAAATGAACATGCATCCACGTGCATAACAGTCCAACGTTTCGCGTGCTTGTGACTATTACGCACGCAACAACTCAATGGGCGAAGTTAATATAAACAGCGTGTTGCCGCGCGCATAGCAATATCTTCACATTCTCTCTAAACTTACAATGCCTTCCTACTTCTAAATACGTCATAGCTTTACTGACTAATGACAAAAACTCGAAGATCATTTCTTTGTACTGATTATTTAGCATGCTGCGAGAGTCTTTCAACAAGGATAATTTGATAATAAGCGAAACGCTGGACTGTCTTACGCACATGGATGCACGCTCATTCGTAGATCTGTGTTAAGAACTCGTTAATTATTGCGAGTCTTGCAAAATGGTTCAAAGAAACTTTTAAAGACTCAGTATAACCCTCTCTATTCGTCTACGAACGATCGTACAGTTATTACCGGATATCTATATATATGTATCCTTACGGAAAAAACGTTCAACTATTGACCGTAACGTACGAAATCACGTTCAATTTGACCGTAAACGCTCAAAATTGAACGTATAAGCGCCTCCGCACAAACTTTTTCATAAGAGCCTCCGCACAAACTCTTTCTTAACGCGTTACGTTACGTTAAGTTGGCTATGAACTTAAATTTGTACGTAAACTTGAACGTCATTCAACGCACAAACTAATATTTAACGTAACGTAACGTTAATTACTAGTCATAAACTTAAATTTGTATGTAAACTTGAACTTTATTCAACGCACAAACTAGTACTTAACGTAACGTAACGCGTTAAGAAAGAGTTTGTGCGGAGGCCCTAACGCGTTACGTTACGTTAAGTTGGCCGTGAACTTAGATTCGTACGTAAACTTGAACTTCATTCAACGCACAAACTAATACTTAACGTAACGTAACGTTAAGTACTAGTCATAAACTTAGATTTGTATGTAAACTTCAGCTTTTTTCAACGCACAAACTAGTACTTAACGTAACGTTACGTGTTACAAAAGAGTTTGTGCGGAGGCCCTAACGTTGAATATTGAAAGTTTACGGTCAACTTGAACGTGATTTCGTACGTTACGGTCAAGAGTTGAATGTTTTTTCCATATGGATAATTTATACATGACGGTTTTATGTTTTAACGAAAGACTATGAATACTGCCTTACATGTTTCGTATTATTTGTCAGAAGCAAAACAATAATGTACATTTGAAAGTCGTTCAATTGTTGCTAAAATAAAAGAATTCCCCTGAAAAAAACTATTTTTAGCAAAAATTAGAAGAATTTTACTTGTATATTTTCTCGCTTTTGACGTCACAATTCAAGATTTTAAAGCTTCTGAATTCGCTACAACCACTTTAGATGATGTAACGTCAGAAATAAGAAAACATATATTTCGAAAATCACTGCAAATCTCGTTTGAATAACATTTTGCGTTATTTACATTTATAAATGAATAGTGTCACGTATAAGAAGTGCGATTGCTAAGTATCCAAGACATAGAAAGTGAAAGCAGTATCACATTGACAAGTTCCGTCTTTTAGAACAAATGTTAAACGCTGGCTCATTATTGCATGTAATGTTCATGTGATAGTCAAAGCGTAGCCACTTATGGCATGATTTTATTATTGTTTAAAAATTTCTTTTTATCTAACTATTTATCGAGCTATTTTTTTCAGATTTGGAAATAAGGGTTGTTCTTCTGAAAAATAAAATATGTCACCAACAACAAAAATGCCACTATCGCTATTTATGCGTCATTTCGGATACTCTTTGTATTCTATACCTAGTACCGAAAATTATTGTTACGCAGATTTTATTTATTAAATAAAATAAAATAAAATAACGAGTCAAAATAAAAAAAACCGTTACGCGAAAAGAGAAAAACAATTTCTCTTTTGTATTTTTTTACTTCTTTAACTTTTGTTAAAAGGCAGCGGTGGACAGCGGCTGAAAAAGAACGACATATTTTTCTACAAAAGTTTTCCTGCTACTTTGTGATAATTCGTGTCTGATTATACGCATAGTATCCATATATTTTAGGTGTTTTGTACCAAGCTCAACCAATTTTTATTTTCTCCTTCTACGGGAAGTCGAATTTGCACCAGTCGCACATTTTTATCCCCACTTTGATATTGTGTGGTTGGCACTACTACAGTTTCGCCATCTACAGTTTCATTATAAGTGTATACAGTTTCCACTTGATCGACAATTTCAGCTTTACATTCTATGGTATCATTCCCCGTGAAATTCATCTATGAAAAAAAGCGATGTGATATTTTCTAAGGAAAAATTTAAAATAAGACTTTACAAGAAATTGTCATTATTCTACCTGGCTCTCGACGACGAGAGAATCTGTTTCGTCTCTTACGGTTTCTTCGGCTGGTATACTCAATACAACACTCTCTTCACCGTTATATATCTGATCTCTCTCTTGTTGTATAATAACGTGATTTTTCAATTCAGTCACGTACAATCCGTTATCATCCAACTAAATAAACAAGTGTTAGTATTGCACAAAGTAAAATTTTAAATAATAAAATTAATATTTCGCAAATTTGCCAAGTAAAATAATGATACTAGTAGGGAAGTGGTCAATTCGAGGCAATAACCAGATCTTCGGGTCAATAAAGTTCTTTATTTTTATATAGTTTTAAAGAAGTTTATTGACCCGAAGATCTGGTTATTGCCTCGAATTGGCCACTTCCTTACTAGTATAATATTTCACAAGAAAGAATACACAAGTTAAAATGATTTTCTATTTTTTTACAATAATAAGTTACCTGTTCGTTTTCGGTTTCTTCCATTAATAATTCACCATCATTATCGGGAATCGCTATTACTTGATCATCTTCCATTGTTAAAATTGACGGTTGATTTACGACTATAGTATCATTTATATGTCCCTAATATATTTATGTGTGTATATATATTAATATATCATATTATATAGGTCATGTTTAATAGATACACATTTAATGTTGTTTTATAGAAAAAAATTAACGTTTTTTACCTGATTTTGCATATGAGCATAAAGCAACGGTTTTCTCATAAAGCCCATACCACACACTAAACATTCATAGGGCTTTTTATCGCTATGAATAAATCTATGCGCATTTCTATTGTCTCTACTATTAAATGCTTTACCACAAACCTGAAAGAATATATTCACTATTAAATGCTTTATCACAGACTCAAAAACATATATGCACACTAATTGTTAGTACAGAGCAGGGACTTATACCGGTATGCAAAATACCGGTATTTTACCGATATTTTTGGGTAATGGTATGAAAACCCTTATGCAAACCGAAATGCAGATATACCGGTATGACGTCATACCGGTATACGATAATACCGGTATATTTACCCATATTTACCTATATTTACCGATAATTTTTTCGTAATTTTTTAAAAGTAATATCTTAAAACTATAAGTGTTGTCATTATGTTGATAACACTTTTTAATAATA